AGGGGGAGACGGCCGCTCAGGCACACGCACACACAGCGAGTCAGGGGGACACGGACTGAGTTTGTAGAAGGTACGAACATCAAGTGTTACGTCCAGACATGTCCTATGCCAAATTCCATTTGAAAAACAGCCAAATTAATGACTGACATGGTTCTTTAAGAAAAATGTTTCATACCTTTCCTGTGCTGGAGCAGGATCTACTTTTTTTCCGGTAAACGCTGAGAATTAATTATTAATGTGTTGTAACGTGAACCCGACATTGACCTGAACTGGAATACGGAGTCAGACTGTTTCATCGTTTTGAGTCTCTTGCATTGGTAAGTGTGCTGCGTGTCGTATATTTTGTGACGTGGCTACTGAGAGGTCCTGTTTTGTGTTTAGTTTTTCTAAATTTGTGTTATTCCTGGTGGGCCGCAGAGTTCTTGGAACACCTGTTTAGAAAGGAGAAGCTCTGAAACTGATACAGTATCCGCGTTGATGGGATAATCTGTACAGATTCACGTTAGAATCGATCACAAATGTAATCAGCCGTCATTACTGGAGCTGGCTTTTGTCAATTTCCCTGCATGGGTGTCCTTCAGTAAGACTTTTTCCATCCTGATTGATTTTAAAGAAAGGTTACCACCCACATTACGGCCTTTCTCTCTGGTTCCAGGGAAAGCTTCTCAAGGGTGATTTGTTATTTCAGAGTGCAGAGAAACCGCATTGATTTAAGGGGAAATGTTTTCATTTGACACCCCAGAGTTTTGCGGATTGGAGAGAAGACAAACAGTATTTAGAGAACAGAGAATTTGCGGTTAAAAGGAAAGTGGATTTTTTTCACGCACAAGTCCTTTCTCATTGTGACTTATTTATATGTTAAATTGTTTGAGAAAAAACAATAGACTCCAGCTTTAAGTCAGGCCGCAGCATTTACGTTGTGGAGAGAAACCCTTGAGTGTTAACACTTTTATTTGATCACCCGCTTTTGACTGTGACAAAATGCGCACATGAATACACATGGGGCGCAGCGATGGCAAAACCCCGCTGCTCTCCAGAGGACGGAGACAATGCACTCGCCCTCCCAAAACACAAACAGCATGCATAATCGCTCACCAGCTGACAATGCAGCCATTCATTGTCCCAGGCACACACACACACACACAAATGCACGCACACACTCACAGAAGCACACTGGATTTGAAAGCCTGCTCCCCTCCTCAGATCTGTGATATCAGAGCAGACAGTTTAGATGGTGCCATGTGGTGGCATGATGAAAAAAGACCTGTCATGTGATGTAACCACGGAAAACAAAAAATCTGACTGTGATGTAACAAAGGGGAGAAACATGTGCTGGTTTAGCTACGTCATTCCCCTATTTATAAACCTTAAAAGTGTGTGTGTGGGTGTGTTCATTATTATGCATGTGAGTGCTAATGTTCATCCCACAGCCATATTTGAACCGTTTTGTATGCTCTCTGTTGCACAACCCTCTTAGAATGCCTTCTGTAATGTGGACTGCATGTAAGGAAACAGTGTGTGAAAGTGTGTGTAAGTTTATGTGTGTGACAGTGTGTGTATGAGACAGCGTGTGACACTTGAGAAGAGGGTGCTTTTTGATTCATTGATTTGTAAATATGTTTTCATAAGGTTTTTTGATAATGTATTATACAATTATGTAAAAGAAAAAGATGTACATAAGATTTTAGATAAAGTGTCGACAGGTATATTAATTTATTTGTATAACAGCAGAGCACTGCATTCCCTGATTGTAAAGATTTGAATAATCCACCAAAGTGGTTTGTGTTGTTTTTCTTGCCGTGCACCACTTAGCGTCCTTATTTTGTGCAACCCTTCTTTTCTTTGTTGCCCACGTTAAATATGGCGTCCCATTCCCGACAACCTGAGTATTAAGGAGATGATTCATTTTTGTTTATTTGTGCCTTTTGGTTGATTTTTCTTGTATTCTCCTGTAGTGTTTTTCAAGATAAAGACAGGGATCAGCCAACTACTGTACATGCAAAGATAAACTGTGTATGAAGACCAAACTGGTTCCACTTTTTGATTTTCTGTAATGGATTACTTTTGAATATCTCTATATTGATATATAAAATCTGACTGAAAATTTCCTCAATGTGTGATTTTTTTTTTTCTTTTTTTTTTCTCTACAACATATCAAATATGAAACATTTCACAAACATTCTGCTCAAAGAAAAATGATTCCCCTTTCATTGAAGATCTGCTATCTTGAATATCCTTTTATTTTTCAGTCTTTCATTTGTTGTTTATTTGTAATTCTTTTAAAACAAGATGTGTCAAATGTGTGTAATGACAATTGTGTGGCAAACTCACAGAGAATTCTTCCCAAGCCCAACCATTCCCCTCACTTGTATGAAGTCTTGAAGCATGTTTTAGCTTGTTTTGGTTTTGCGGCCTGACATTTTTTCTGTTTGATTCCGGTTCACGGCACTAGTTTCTGGAAGCAATGATAAAACAACTGTCAGCATTTAAGTTATTTGCCAGTACACTAATGACAGCCATTTAAAGTTAGCGACTACTGTAGCTAACCTCTCAATTAAAACCTGGGGTGCATTCAGAACATATAGTTAGTCAGAATAGTATTGACCAATCACATTTGAGCATGCTTTGGTTGAATGCAGGAACCAATGGACAAAATACAATCTTGGAACCTATTGGCTATTTAGCGCTTTATTAGCTTGTAAACTGGCAACTTGTGAAACAATCAAACCATATTCTCCTGTCTCAAGTTGTAAATCAGACTGTAAACAATGAGCAGGACACAGAAAAGGAAGCATTGGCCTCATATATATCTGCTAGCTTCACCAGAACCCAGGAAATATTGGCTTTTGCCCTCAGAGGCCTATAATTGTCAGGAGAGTAGCTGATGGATTCAGAGATTAGGGGCTAGCTAATGAACATAGATGGGCACTGAGAAGCTAAAGAGTTGGATATTTCCCTCAGGATTGAGTATGGTCAAAACGGGTTGGTGGATATTGGTCAGCCTAAAATGTGATGCTAATGCTGATGCTGATATTGCTACGTGTCTGCTGGATCTATAAACAGGCCAACACTTTAGCTCTAACAACCATAGGACATATATGTCAAATGTGTGTGATTGGGAGTGTTGTGTCCCAGAGTGGCAGAAAATGCAGGATTAAAGATATAACCTAAGTCAACAAACACACTGCTAATAACGTACGGTGTGTTTACTTTTTCTTGGTGTAAATTGCTCAAATGTAGGATAATGTCTTCTTTTTCTAACCTTTATTTTACCTGCTATATGCTGGTTGCCAATTAAGGCTGAAGCAGCAAAACGACTGAATGAATAGCTTATGAATTTGTGTTTTTCATGTTGAAGCGTTTAAGAAGCTGCTCCTACAGCATGTTTAGAGTCCATTCTGACTGGGCTGCTTCACGCATTCATCCACTTACAAAGTGATTCATCAGCAGCCAGGAAAAGTTGTGGTTAAATCCAGTCCATTATCATTATTAAACTGAAGCAGGGTAAATGCTTTTTAGCCCTTCATTGTTGTACCAATCCCCATTGGGATCCTGTGTAATAGGTATTTGTTATTGGTCCAGTTGGTTTTGCAGCAGCACAATAGGTGTCATGTGTGTTCACTGAGCACAAAGGCAACGATGAACAGATGGAACACCTTTATTCCCTCTAGCATGAAGGACTCTTTAGGTGGGGGATGCTGTTTTTACACTAATGCATCTGTAAAACAGGCACATGGCATATATCTACCCATGAATACATATTGTAAACATGCTTTAAAGGGACAGTAACCCATAATCCATATACAACTCAGTGCAGATTGTTTTGATGTGAGTTGCAAAATGTTAAGATGTTTGCCTTCTCTAAAATATAATTGAACTAGACGGTTCTTCGCTTGTGCTGAAGGCATTTGAAAAGTTTTACAAGAGAATAGACAGACCTTGTGAGCAGTTTCAAGAAGGAACTATTTTCTATGTTCTACCATATCACCACGCAGAAGGACGCTTGGAAAAGCCTCGACCATGAGTAGATGCATGCATCGATACTTTAGAAAGAAGATATTTCCTACACAAAACTTCTCACAAGAAGCTCTGTGAATTACCTTGAGTATCCTGGTCCTATTTCTTGACATATTGCTGTTGAGTTTTTCAAACATATCTTTTGGGCACAAAGCCTCCCATCTAGTTCCATTATACTGAAAGCCGATATCTCGAAACTCAGGACCTAACGCCAAAACATCTACACTGATATATGTATAGATTTTGGGTGGATTGTCCCTTTCTTAGTTTATCAATAACCATGGGTCATCCATACAGAGCAAAACTGATTTCCTTACTTGTGTCACTTGATTAGTGTTTTTCTGTCAATACCGCATTTCATCATACATGTGATGGAAAAGCAGCTGATTCCATCTTGATCTAACCATCTCTCTCCTTCTGAGGATATATATTTTCTCAGGATCATTACAGCGCCAGAACAGTCACTCAGCCAGGCCGGAAAGTATCCTCAGGGGAAATGAGATGGCTTTGCTCCGTGAGACAGAAACCCAGCCTGCTCCCCGTCTCCACTCAATCCTTTTTGTCTTATCTCGCCAACATAATCTTGAGTCCTTGCACGAAAAAAACTAAAACCTCCGTCCCTTACCGTCTCCCAGGGGGTTAGAAGGAGGAAGGCCACTCAAAATGCATCTGCTTTCACGTCTGACTGAGTCATACCAGCTGCCATACAGTGGGTTTGCATGTGAATCTCATCGTGTCCTCTCTCACAGTGGAATTAGTACACTTCTGTGGGAGTCATGTTTATAATTGTCTGGCACACTTGAAAGGGATTAGATCTAATCCCCTGGATAAGCTCATTTTAGAACTCCAGGTTTATGTTTATTGTTGCTCTCTGTATGTGTTGTACTGCTCTTGAATTGGCTGTCTTTAATAATGGCAAAATGGAGAAGCCATGCCCCCTGCTGGCCAGGTTTGTCACTACAGCAACAAAGATGACAAATGTGTTTCTTATGCCCCACCATATATAAGAGCATGTTCCGCTCTTTAAAACAAATCGGATTTGGGGTATTTTATTCTTAAAAGGCAGTTTATACATCAGTATAGCAAATACTAGCAAAATGGTTTATTGGCACCAAAATGTATTGTCTTACAAGTGTTTGCAACATTTTGCTTTTCATGTATATTTTTATATCTTTTAAAATTGCTAAGAATGTATATGATGATCGGTACGATTCTGAAAACAAAAAAAAACAGAATTTGTAATAGTTTTCAACATATACTTATGGCCCATACAATTTATCTAATAAACATATTTTTGTAAAGCTTTGTTTGCAAAGATAAGCTTGTATTTGGATGTGCAAAGATCAGAAATGTCTTTATATTAAAGGTCCCATGTCATGGCCATTTCTACTGATCATAATTCCATTGTTGAGGTCTACTAAAATAGATTTACATTGTTCAATGTTCCAAACTCACATTGGTTTCTCAAACAGCATCTCTGTATAGTATGTGTATTCACTCTCTGTCCTAAACGGCTTGTTGGAGCTCCTGCCCCCCCCCCTCCCTGTGAGCCCAGTGGCCTTCTGCGAGACAGCAAGACATAGCGAAACCCAGCCCGAACACACACACACCCACAGCCTGGCTGGGAGTTTGTGTGTGTGCTCACACACAGACTCACAGCCTCGCCGCGTCCCGCCGTCTCAGGGAGGAGAAAAGATTAAGTGTGTGTGTGAGGAAGTAACGGCTTCGCCGACGTAACTTAACGGCTCCGCGGATTGGACCAATTGGCCCATGGGGTCGTCGTTACGTCACTTGGTTCCCGGAAGAAAAAAATGAAAAAGAGAAATCTCTAACGAGGCGTTCTGGGGCAGCATAGACGGGTCTTTTCTGTGTTAGTTTTACTCCCTACAGGGTGTACTTTGAGGGTTTGTGACTCTGCACACCGTTTACTTGCATAAAAACCTTCATAACACAAGGGGACGGGTAATAACCGGAAAAGCATGACATGGGACCTTTAACATTAAAGACAAAAGTAAGCAGCACATTTATTGTGTACTGTATCAGGATTGATGGCACGGTAAGCTTTATCCCTTATACAAATTAATTTTCCTTAACTACATCATCCAATACAAAAACAAGCTAATGCTGGTGTTAATGTCCAGAAATCATAAAAAATATGACAGCAGAGGCTCAACCCAGGCAAACAGCATCAGCATTAAACGGGTTCAAAGTGCATCAGACAGAAAAGAGCAAATGTGAGAGCATCAAATATCTTCAGATTCTTTTTTCCAGTAGGCTACAAAGCTCGAGCTTTAGCATGGGCCTGCAGCAGGGCAGCAGTGTCAGTGTGGGAGCCTTGCATGGCGATGGAGAGAGCAGTTTGACCACGCTGGGGAACAAAAAGAAAGATAAAGATTAATATTTTATCTTAAAATAACAGCTTCAAAACTCATTTTGATGTTACACTCGCTTGTAATAGGGGAATGGCGTTTCTTGCTACTCTGTAACTAGAGCAGGTCTCACAAGTTCCAGGAGAATTATATACGTATTTTACAACGCTAAATAACTTTATTATAACTATTTAATGGAGAAATGTTTTCTACTTTTCACCTATGATTTTTGAAGGCTGTACTGCCTCAACTTTATCAACATTTGAAGTCTCATATATGAGCTGTCTTCCTTCTGTTTGTATCCAACAGTTCAAATGTTCGAATTACATTGAACCAGAATTGTCCCCCTTTTTTCTTTAACAGTGAAGAAAATTGGATATGTTAATGAGATATTGACCGCAAAACTCAAAATGTCCCCGGTTTTAATTTAGAAAATCTGGTCACCTTACCCTATTAGGAACCAGCCTTTTAGCCCTGTCGTTGTCATGTTGACGTTAGCATTTAGCGTAAAGCACCACTGCGCTAAAGTACAGCCTAACAGAGTTGCTTGGTGTTAGACTCTAGTTTTAATGGGAATCACTGCATCAAGGTACATAATTAAGGCTCCCCGCAGACAATTAAATAACAAAACTATTTGCAAGGCTACATTTATGTCCTTAGGAGAAACGTGGTAAGACTTAATTTCATCAGACTTAATTTAGTCTAATTAGTCAGGGTTTGTGTCAAGTTGAAACATGGTTCAAAATTGAGATAGGATACCTGTGGTTGATGGTGCTTAATTTAGTCTTGAAAAAAACTACTTTAGATGCAGACTGTGAAAAATAGAATAAACATTTGCGCCCTCTTGCCTACCTCCACTCGCTCCAGACTGGTAGATAAGGTACTGTTAGAGGATTAGCTCATCTCAGCACAGGGAGATTTGTTTTACTGTAGCCCCGATTAATCCTGGGAAAGCTTTATTCTGCTGCATGCAGATTGACAGTCCACCCACATCCATACAGTGTGAGTCAAAACATTGAAGCTTTCATACATCTAAGCTCCTTTTTGTGAGTAGAAAAGTAGATGCACTGTGTTCTTTTTGTTAACAAATATAACAGGATTTCACAGGAGAAATGGAGTTGGCGTCATCATATGAACACTATTTCTGTAATTTATTGTAGTGGAGGTGCTGCCTCCTGTATTATTTTTTGGAGAATTTCTTATCCAATTAACTGAGATTAATCCGGTCAAGGTTTAAAGGATTTTATTGGAAGGAAGTGTGTTTTCTGCAGTGTCACCTTGTCGGTCAGAGTGAGGTCACACTGGCTCCTCTCCAGCAGCAGCCTTGCGATGTGTGTGTGGCCCCTCTCAGCTGCGAACATCAGGGCCGTTGCTCCCTCTCTGTCCTGCAGGTTAATGTCTGCTCCACAGCTCAGCAGCAGACGAACCATCACAACCCGCCCATGTCTCACAGCCAAGTGCAGAGCTGTTTGGCCCGTCTGTGGAGCGGGACCGAAAATGACTACTTAGCGATTTGTTTAAAAGTCCATATATATTTATCTCTACATGTTTTGCCTCTTAATTGTATACTGTTTATCTTTAGATTCAGGTCATGCTATACAATTATTGTATTTTCATGTGGCAAATCAGTTACCCAGGATGACCCTTTAATGTTGTGTCAAAGTATATGATTTAACAATAAAAGTCCTCTCGACCTACAAATAACAACCCCACACCAAAAATGTGTCCTATTTAAGCCTCATTGGGTGTGTTACCTGGCTGGAGCGTATATTAATGTTGCTCAGCTCCATTAGCTTGCGGACCACCTCCATGCCGCCAGGTCCATCAGGGGCGGTCAACGAGGCGAGCATCACTGCGGTGTAGCCTGCGTTGTTTTGAATGCTCAAATCACCCACACCTGTATGGCAAAGAAATACGTTTTTCAGTGTTTCAAAGCCAAATACGTCTCTGTCCACTAGCTCTGCAACACACTGCTGTTACCTGTGTCCAGGATCAGGCTGACGATGCTGTAGTTGCAGTGGGACACGCTGTAATGCAGCACAGTGTTGCCGTTGTCGTCGGCCATGTTGATCAAGAAGGGCAGCAATGAAGGAGTGACTCTCTTCACTTCTCTCAGGTATTCAGCCACCATGCTGCACACTGAGGCCTCCTCTGCTGCCGCACTGAACCAGTGCTGGAACAACACGACCAGGGCCTTCCTCTGGGGAAACAAAGAGGGACACATAGGGAGAACTTTAGATCAAATTTGGCAAACACTATTCTATGCTATGACAAAAGACGGAGTTTGGTAGCCTTGTGAAGTAGCGTGAGATCATGGTAGTTTGTCATCTCAGTCAAGCTTTTTCAGCCTTCCCTGCCTTTCCTGCACTGTTCATCGTTTAGTAGGTTTTTTACTTTAAAGCTGTTCCACGGAAAAAAGTGGACAAGGGATGCAGGGACTTGGATCTAACTTCTAACTTTGCTCAGCTTTTTTCTCTGATAATTTAAAGTGGACCTATTATGCTATATTGGAAAAATATATTGTAGGGCCATACCTATACAAAACATGTCTGAAGTGTTTTGCTTAAAATACCAAACAGATCACCTATTGTAGCCATGCCTCATACTGCTCATACCCCCCTTTTGCAGCCCTGTTGGAGAAATGCGCATTTTGGGTCCTTAGCTTGAAAATGCTGCTGTGATAAAACACCATCCTGTTCTAAACCACATCAAGGATTATTTCTGAAACAGCTCAAATGCTTTTTCTCTTGCGGGTTTATCACAAGGTGAGTTCCTTTTTTTATTTCCTGCTTTTTAAACACATGTCCTCTCCAGTACAGGTTAGCTCTGAGTGTTAGCGAGGCTCGCTAATGTAAACAAAGACAAGATTACGTCCAAAACACGTCAGGCATTATTTCTGATAGCAACTTTCTGTGGGTCCGCCGACGATTTGACGTCATATCGGCAGCAAATCTGTATCCGCTCATTGTACCCCCTTTTTTTTTTAAAGATTTGGGTACGGAGGAAAAGAGAGAGGCTTTTATTTTCTGATGCTGCGTGAGTTCCCCGATGCACCGGGGACACATATTTATGTATAAAAGACATCAAAAAGTGCATTTTTGCATGATAGATCCCCTTTAACATCTAAATGTTGAGTGGGTTGTTATCCGGAGTCAACATATCTTCAAAGGGCTACTATGAACATTGATTCACGAGTTTCTTAGGTGCTGTTCAGTTGAGGCGGACATTTGCTCTACTGGTTTTTCTGATCACTTTTGACCCAAATGCCTAATGACAAAAATCAAAGAAATTGTATCGTAAAAATGTGGCTTAAAAACTGACCAAGCCTAGTCAGTCTACTTGGATTAATCGTTTGGATGAGTAGCATGCCTGCCTGTTTTAGCAAAAATGAAATAGTTTCAGAAGCAGCTAGCATAGAGCTGGATTCATAAGATTACTTTAATACTATACAGATACCATAACTGTAATAAGCTGAATGTTTCTTTGGAAGAATCCAGACTGCTCACCATGTCTTCATTGGGGTTGTCCATGTTGTCCATGTGATCTTTGAGGAACTGACAGGCAGCCAGAAAATCTGCATTCACCGTCTCCCTAGAGGAAGGAGTATGCGTGCATAAGGAAAGAGAAAAAAACCGAAGTAAAAGAAACATAGCCCCATGGGATGAAATAAAAACACAGGAGCTATTCTCTGAAGAGTAAACATCACAATCATAAAAAGTGATAAGGCGTTTGTTCCGGTTGCCTCACCCGCCCCCGGTGCTGGTTTGTGAGCCAGACTTCCCCTCCATCTGTTCTCCTGGGGGTTCCGTTTTGGCTGTTTTCTCAGCTTCCACAGACGCTACGCCTCCATCTGTCCGCTCTGATCCTGCTCCTCCCGGTATCATCTGTCCGTCTGGGCTCGTGTACCTCAGTCCCTCAGACAGTCTCAACTCTGGGTCTGCTTCTTCCTGGGGAACAGCCATCTCCGTAGGGCGGATGCTACTTTGATTTTGCATGCTTTGGTTCACACAGTCTTGCCCAACCAGATTTCCATTTTGGGGACTTTAAAGAAAATAATGTAAGAAGAGGACAGCAAAACAATTAACCACCACTCAAAACGCTGGTACATTTCGGCAGATGAAAATACACCCATCAGATCTGTTAAAAGGACAAAGTTCACCTTTTTTTCTCATCGCAGTGTCTGAGTTGGCTCATTTTGGAAAAAGACAACGATTTTTCAATGACAGATAGCCATATGGCATTGCCAGGTCTATCTATAATCACATGTTGTTGTTTTTTTTAAATCTGCGTAGTTTTGTCCACATTCTTCGAAGACATTTCTTGCAATATTCATATTTATACTTATAAATTAAGAATATCATCCTTTTAAGAATGCCTTTTATGTGTTGATTCATAGAACTTCAACTCAAGAGACTCGATATATTTATAAAGGAGTAATCCTTTAGCTAAACTGGAAACTTCCAGTGTCACTTTTTCCACTTTTTTTGCCAGTATTTTTAAAGTAATAAATAAACTCTCTTTGGAGGCTTTGGTAAATGGCAAATGTTTTTCTTCCTTAACCGACAACTTCAGAGGGATTGGCATTCATCCACAATCTTAAATGATGGTGTTTGTCTCAGGCAAAGTAGCTTAAACAACCTCAAGTTAGTATGTCTGTCAACCAAAACTATGGTTTAAGCAAAAATCATAACTCTAAACGTTGGGGGCGAGTTATTTACTAACCCATCATTAACACCCACAGAATGGAGGCTTTTTGACATCAGGGCGCATCCGTCTGTCCGCATGGGGGATTTAGAGGCTGCGTGGAAGACAAACAGAGGGTATGATGAAATATTACAACACGGCTGAACAACAACATTACATGCCCGTTAGGAACACATCAGCATGCTTTATGGCTTATTGTCATACTTTAAGAGATAAGTATTTCTTCACAAAAGCTATTTAGTCAGAATTGTTTATACTGAAAAAGAAGAGAGTAAATTAGTCAGTGAATTGTGAGCCTAGATGTGACAGTGGAACATCATGATGTAGCCTTGATGGTAATAGACATAAATGTTCAGGACTTTGAGTAAAAGAAAATGATTATTTTGTCAAATTGTATGTGCTGTTAGACAGTCTTCATGAAAGGGGAATGAGCTTGTGGTTTCAAAAATATGATGTTTCCATTGCTGTAGTTCTTAGCATAAACAAGTTAATTCCAACTCTGTTTTACACAGATTGTTCCACTACACAGAGCTCCTATGCCTAATCTAACAAAAATAACAAAAACTTAAATATTTAACTCTCAAGGCTTCAATTTAAAGCATTTAAAATTTTAAACATTTTATATTTTTGAATATTTCATATTCATTTTGTGATCAAAGTTCAGATTCTGCTGATACCAAAGAGTATAATATACACATTCTTCCGCTAAGTTTTAACTGCTTTGACCAGCCATAGTTGTAAATAACTAGACATGTTCTCCAAAGATAAACTACGAGTAAACTATCAGATTCCAAACTAAAACTAAAGTGGTTGTTTTGCCTTGTAGTGTACCAATGTACTTCTTCTTCAAATATATAAGATCAAATCACAAAATTAGTGTTCAATCTTAGAGTCACGAAAAAAAAAGTGGATATTGTCTCTGTGACGTCGCTCATTGGTTTGTGGAATATGGTTTGAAGCCCAGACTTTAGTCTTGACATTTTCAATCGACCATAATGTTCCAATTAACATCCATGAACTGATAACACACTGTGAAAAAGTAAAAGTTCTAAGACAAAAACCATGACAACACCGTGGTACCAACCTGTCAACAAGAAGTTAGCAACGCCTTTAGTATACCTTGCTTTATCATCTAATTCAGTCCCAATGGGATCATGATTGACTAAATGGACATCATGTATATTGAAGGTATATTGAGAAAATACAATTTTCAGCTAAATATTTATGTTACTAATAAATTAGGTGACAAGTAGGATGGTTTTCGTGTAGACTTCTATACAATTACACTTGTGAAGCAGTAATGTATTGGCTTCATTTTTCAGACTTTAGTAGATAAGAAGCAGACATGGAGCATCTATTATTTGTATTTTCATTATACAACTATGCTTTAATCATTGCAGTGACATAATGTAACATCTGTGGACTACAGTACCTCCATGTTGGATACTCTCTTCACCACTGCATCCATGTTGGGTGTAGTAGGATGTAAGGATGTTCACAAGTCCCATCATCTCCTGCTGCAAGGCGTTGACTTTGGGGTCAGGGTGCTGTAGAGGTTTACCCTCACTTCCTGACGCATGTTCTGCACACAAACACTCCCACTGCTTATACAGCAGCCTCTTGATCTGTGTTATATGATGGGCAACCACTGCTGTTTCTTCTGAAGAGTCTTCAGGTTTAACAGACACTGCCAGGTCTTGTTGTTGACTTTTTTGTCCATTTGCAGAAACAGTTCTTGCATCTGGACTTGACACTTTGATATATGGTTCAAGGGATCTCACAACAGTGTCATCTCCATCCTGTTCTACCAGCACCCTCTCTGCATGAACCCACACTGCAGGGTTCCTAATAAGGTTCTCCATCTTCTCATCTTTCCTCCTGCTCTCCTCTTGCTGCTCCTTTAGCAAACCTAAAGCTCTATGTAGCTCTAGGCCAGTCTCATGGAGCTTCTGCTCCAGCATAGCTACCTTAGCCTGCAGGGACGTCACCGTCAGCAGCTCATCCAGATCTGTACTAGTCCTCCACTCGTGCATGGGATTAGAGTCCTCGCGACTGATCTGGTGATTTCTAGGAAACATGACGTGACTTTCATGTCGAGGCCTTTTGATATCCATAATGCCGTAATTGGAGGAGGTGTTACGGTCTGTGGTTCCATTCATTGGTGGGGTTTGAATCTGTGGTTTTAATCCCAGTCGGAGCCTTTCTCTTTCCTCCTGAAGGATGCAGATATGCGCCCTGAGCTCTGGAACCACCCTCACCTCCATCTCCAGCTCCCCCACACGTTCGAGAGCCTCGGTCAGGCGTCTCAACAGCCCTGAGCAGTCCTGGGGTCGAGGGCTGTCCGAGGAGTAGAACACGTCTTCACAGGAGGGGTTTCTCTCCCCAAGGTGGTCCCTCGAACTCCGGAGGCTTCCGGGCTCGTCTGTGGACTCTGATCCCTGCCTCAGTAATACTGTAAGTGGCATACTGGAGGCCCGGAGGAGATGAGGTCTGATGTGCTCACCCAAAGGTTGCTCATCAAACTCCTTGATTCTGGCCTCCATCTCTGCCAGAGATCGGAGACCTGTGGGAGAAAGTTGGGATCTCTGATCATTTGCACAGGAATTGTAGCCATAGTGATGGGCGTCTGACAGTCTTGACCTTGGGCCAAGAGCTCCAGTAGATCCCCAGGGGCTTGGGCGGTACCCGCACCCAGAAGGGTTGAGGTGCCTGGGAAGAGTGCTGGCTCGGGGGCCTTTGCTTCGACGCTGGATTGGTACTCTTTTGATTGTGTTGCCTTTCTCTATGTCATCCACGTATTTGAGGAAGTCCAGGTCAAGTTGAAAGCCATAAGGGGTTTCCACTGAGTATGGGGGCTTCCCTCTAGTTCCATTCCCAGTGGTTTTACGGTGCAAGATACTTCCTGTAAACATTAAAACAGTAATTTAGTATCCTTAACCAATTAGGAAAAAATGTGTCATGTTTTGGACATTTTTTGTACCATTTTGTCCTTCCATCACTTTTTTGTTGTCAGTTGTTCAAACAATTTGCTGCCACATTATCTGGTTGGACTTTTGGTACCTGGCAAAACAAACAAAATAAAAAAATACATTAAATTGTATGAGGGACACATGGAGAACACATGTTAGTTTGTTTTTTACAAGTGTCAGAATTGGTAACTGTGTGGTTATACAAACAATAATAATTAGATTCATGAATCCTTTGTGGGAACAGATATATTTTGGCAATGACATTCACTCGAGGTTTAGCTGTGGTATTTTTGGTGGGAGACTTCATCATATTTTATTGACCAGACGGAGGAGCACTCTAAACAGCAAAAAACCTTTTTTGTACTCCATTCACAATCGGCCTCTTATTCATTCTCCCACATGTAGCAGGAAGCACCACAAACATTCAATTACACTTCAATGATTTTTCTCTTTTGCTCAGTCCCATTCTCTTACCAAATAATTCTGTTTTTCTCACACTCTCACTGCTTCATTTCTTCCATGCACAGGCTGCTGTTATTCAACAGTGGCAGGCCTGATGTTCACTTGATTACAGCCCTGCCATCCAGGACCAGAGCTGAGAATAGCTGAGGACTCTTCAGCTCAGCAGCTATGGCCAGCGGTGAAAAATATACTCCTACAGACATAAATACAGACAACCATTGTTGTGACTCACTACTTCCCTCCCTTGCTCTCTCCGTGTCTCCTACTAGGTCTACAGTCTCTTTGTCAGATTATTGGTTCACCTTTACCTAACTGTCTTTGAATGTAACTTCCTTCTCCGCTCTTTTTCATAAAAGTACATTTCTTCTCTATTCTGCTGACTTTCCATTTGACTCTTCATATAATAGAGAATGGTCTATAGTACAGTTATGGCTGCCCTTACTTCCTACCTCCCTCCTCCCATGCCCCCCCCCTTTCCTGACCACCAGCCCCTGTGACAGCTCGATGTCCTCTTGAGGCACCACAGCCACCGAGCCGCAGCCCCAAACAATGTCAGCTATGCAGTAAACAGACAAACACCGCCAAATGGCTCTGCTGGGAATTTTGACAACCGATATTCACACAATCTCTGATGACGAGCTAAGTTTAAAAAACTGCAATAAACAGATACTGGCGCGCACATGTACGTGTACATGTTCACGTGAAATGTTGCAAATGTACGTGCAGAGATGCAGGTCCCACATGAACATTATCTATACATGTGGTTCTACACCAGGGCTTATTGAGGTAGTTCCAGGAGACCCCAAGAAGAATGGGGAATATTTTCATAGCGGGATTGATAAAGGAAATGTCATTACTACAATTCAAAACCAAAAAAGGTTTTGACACTAGAAAGAAAAAGTGAAGAAAATAATGATAATCAGAAATATGAGGCCAAATGTTGTTACTCCACAGCTTCAGACACGATGCAAAGTGCACATTTATATTGGTATCATAAAAGTAAACAACTCTAAAAAAAAAAGTCTAAAAACCCTCATCAAATATAAACTTTGAATTAACTAATCATGTAACCACCCATTTTTTATATTTTAAAATAATTATTTTCTTGATAGGATTTGCCACAGTAGAATTCCTTCTTACTGTATGTTCTCTTCTGTCCCTTACACAGAAACCTGATACATGTGGTATACTGTACATTGAAACTGATACTGTACATTGAAACTGATACAGTACGTATGTTGTTAATGCCAGTGGGCCTTTATGATGTTGAGTGGAATCTTTCAGCACTCGATCTGACAAGTCTAAATTTAGCCTATACACGTGGGTGTTAAACTAAAGTACATGTCTAGAGATGAGACCCGGACATGTGTCTTCATTTTACAGTAAATTGAATGCCATTAAATGCCCTCACTGTAGAAAAACCACCTGGGAGGACAAGAAGATCAATCATTTTGTCTCGAGCTAGAGAGGCATTAAGAGGGAACAAAAGAGCCTAATTTAGACTACAGGCAGGGTTGTATTCACCATTGACTGTGTAAATCTGCACTGTACAGCAGAACACCTGTTACTGCTGACATCTCTATCGGCCTCACTGAGATCTCAGTCATTAGGTTGAGAATGCAGGCTGCTGGCAACAGTTCAAGAGAAATTATTTTACATTTGGGCCTCGAAGCAAAGAGGTTTCATCCCACAATTTGACATCTACCTTGGAGAAAGTATTTCTAAAAAATGAGTTATTGCAGACGTTGGAAAATATCCACTTTCATTTGTTTGTTTAGAGTTGAGAAGAAGATGAATATCATTCTCTTTTTCTGTACGTTAAATGTTAAGCTACTAGCTGGAAACTTAGCTTAGGTTAGCACAATGACTGGACACGGGGGAAATAGCTAGCCTGGGTTTGTTAAATCACAACTAAAGTTTGTATTTATCAAACTAATTATATTAGATAAAGCAGCATTAGTGAGGCATTGATGTGCTTGTAGGTTTTTCTACCTTTAGAAAGATACAGGCTAACTTTTTCCTTCCCATCTTTATGCTAGGCTAAGCTAGCTGTGTCATGGTTGTAGTAGCTTCGCATTTTTAGCACAGCTAAGAGAGTTGTATGGATACTGTTATTGAATCTGTATAATAACATTCAGAATCAGAAATGCATATTTTAATACCATTCATCGTCCTGCATTCAGACAATAATGCAAACTCCTGCAGCCCACACGTTTCTTACTTAAGATAGACTGTCTGACCGGTTAACCACAGAGGAAACAATATAGAGTTAGAGATAGGGAATTCCCAAGAGTCATTGCCTAACTGTCTACACAATTATGTGGCACAGGTTTTAATTGTGTATGCTAGGATAAGTAGGCCCACCTCACAGGAAACACAAGAAATTAAACATAAAAAATGTGCCTTACCCCAAAATGGCCCCAGCCAATGCTGCCTCTGCAGTCTGCACATATTGAACTCAATCCAAAGTCAAGCATCAGACCGAGTTATATTTTTTATTGACTTTCAAAATCAATGTTTCCTTTGTATCCAGCTAAAGCTCTGGCTGTTTTTCAGGAAATTTAGGAAATGGCAAAGCTTTTTTCAGGGTCTCTTTTACTTTCTTTGGGTTGTTTTCATCTTTCTGTTCCCACAACAGCTGCTCTCCCCCTCTCTGTAAATGTGTCCCTCCTCACACAGACCCTTAGATGTCCTGCATCAGCAAAAACCTCATAATCGCAACATCTCAATCCACAGCATTCTTTACTAAAGCCACAAATTAAATTTGAACTCATGATACAGTAAGACTGGCGACCTAAGTCTGAAGCAATGCTAAATGCTTCAACCTCAGATAAGGACTATGGGTTCATTCTAAATTCCAAATGTAGGTCAATAGCAGCTAACCTATGGATTAGTAACTGGTGGTAGTAGCAAAGATATGTATCATTGCTCAGTTTTAGCCGTGCTAGCGGCATGGCTCTGATGACAATGTTAGTTGGTTGTTCTGCCACTTTGGATACAGATTTGACCTTATAGTCTTGGTCGCCAGATGACCAATTCTTAAGACTTTGATGATCCAAGGATTTTTTGTTTAGTGCCACCAGGAGGTTGAAAAAAAATAAAAAAATTGCAAAACTAATGACATTGCCAACAGCCTCAGCTCTAGCCTGTTTTTTTTACTTTTTAGCAAACATAAGCATGCTAACGAACTTAAATAAGACGTGAGCATAGCATTGTCATTGTAAGCCTGTTACCAAAAGGATGTTAGCATCTAGTTCAAATCACACCTGTGCTCTAAATGCAACCTCACAGTTTTCTATTTTTTACAATTTAAGGCACCACATACATCAATAACTTTGATATGTTTGTTTCCATGGGTTAACATGTGGTGACCTTGCAGAGCTGTCAGTTTGAATTCCATATCACATTGTCCCAGCCACCATCCCATGTGTTCTGTGTTTGAACAGAGCCTCTTCTTGACACTACTTTAATGTGTGCACTTTGAGACACTAAATATAAGCCTGAACAGTGAGAAACTGTTTCCCCATGGTCTTTGCCAATCTCTGTCAATCTGTCTGTACACTTTGTATATCTGCATGTTTCCTTGTTTTGTTCCCGTAAAAATCATTCCTTTCCTCTACTTTGGGCTGTACAGACTGCGGTTCTCTCCAGTGCATAACTCTAAACCTTGACTTCTGTTCAGAGTTGATTTAGGAACTAAAACCAACTGTTTGGACTCTTTTTTCCACTCCAGCTCCCAGATCTGTCTGTTCTTTTTCTGCCTCCAAAGACGTCCTAGAAAAAGTTCTATGATGTGTATTTAAGTTTGTATGTCTAAGTCTTTGGATTTTAGACTGCTTGACTCCTGGTCTTTGTCCAACAGCAGCAGAGTCACAGTTACATTGTGGCATCTAAGCCCGGTTGTGTGGTATGTGGAGCCAAAGCTCATAGGATGAAACAGCTGCCAGGGGCTTCATGCAAGAAAGAAAACTATGGTATGTTAACATGGAAAGGTTAAAATAGAAAGCTGCCGTGTGTGTGTGTGTGTGTGTGTGTGTGTGTGTGTGTGTGTGTGTGTGTGTGTGTGTGTGTGTGTGTGTGTGTGTGTGTGTGTGTGTGTGTGTGTGTGTGTGTGTGTGTGAGTGTGTGTGTGTGTGTGTGTGTGTGTGTGTGTGTGTGTGTGTGTGTGTGTGTGTGTGTGTGTGTGTGTGTGTGTGTGTGTGTGTGTGTGTGTGTGTGTGTGTGTGTGTGTGTGTGTGTGTGTGGCTTCACATTGATTTCTGTACATGAAGTGTAAATCAAATGTAAGTATATTCCAACTTTTAATCTTTAAAATCAACTTAGTCTCTTGAAAGCCTTATTGGTATTCAGCACAATTTGTTAAATCACTTTATTGTCAAAAGCTACTCGACCCTGAATTTAAATAAGCGTGTCCCAAATTCAAAAACCTTCGAGGTCAACATCTAGCATCTATCCGATCCAACTGTCCTCCGATGAGTAAGATATATGAGATGAATATTAAACCAGACCTTACCTGGTGGCAGCAGTTATTTCCACTCTGTTTTGGTGATGTGAGGGCGTCAGACACTACAGGCTGCTCTCAGCTCCGTCTGTCTGTCTCCTCAGAGGGCAGGGGGGTGCTGTCAGGGAGAGAGGCATGCCGCGGCTGTTTAGTGAATGCCTATGTGCAGCTCCTGCCATAACAGAAGCTGGGTTTGCTCGCGTGTAACAGAGAGCAGGGTGGGGCTTGTGAGCATTAAGCCTTCCTACGATGAGAAGTCATAAGTGGGTGGCTAGGCGTAGACAGCCACACCCATTCCTTCAGACGACAGCAAATAGAAGTTCAGAGGAGTTGCCGGCCGGGAATGACAGCACTTCTTCTGGGACCATGGTGAAAACATCTCAATATATGGAGCATCTGGCAAAGGCAAGCAAAAGAAAGTACCAGAGTCACCTTACTGTGTACCATCCATAATCCTCTCAGATAACATCAGTGGCCAAGCAGTGCCTCAAAGACCCCCCTCGGTCAGAATGTGTAACCCTACCCAGTGTTATTTGGTCTCTGTCCTCTATAATCAAGTAACGGGTGGAGAGCTGAGGGCTTGGCGTCTATGAGGGTTCATTCTCTCAGTGCATACCTCTCATTCTTCATGGATCCACTTTCAACCCACAACACATCTTCCTTTGGGGCAAAGCCATCATGCCATATTTCTTCTGCTCCTCTTAAAGGCAGTGGACCACCCGGAGACTGTATAACTGTATATAGACTGACTGAATTTGCATTATGGTTACTACTTTAGTTCATTTCATTTTTGTTATTCAGTATGTGAACGCATATGTTCATAAAATAGTGTGTGAGCTTAACTGTATTAAACTAAAACGGACCCTTTTTTGTTGGCTTTTATTTTTATTTTTTTTAAACTGCAGTATGTGCTCATTTGTTTCATTGTTGGTGTATAAGCTACTGCCTGAATATGCTGAGGACACATTACATGTTTCTGTTGTTTTATATAATACACTACAAGGGCACCTATTATGCAAAATGCACTTTTTGATGTCTTTTATACATAAATATGTGTCCCCGGTGTGTAATTATTACTGGCCCCGTGCATCTCCTAATCGTTATAACCGGCCTGCTCTCGTCTATCCCACATGTTCCACTGAGATCCAACATCTAGTTACAGGCGGCCTGTGGAACTGCCAGTCAGCTGTTCCTAAGGCTGACTTAATTTCTGGCTACTCTTCCCTGCAGTCTCTGGATTTCCTTGCTCTCACTGAAACCTGGATTACTCCATCCAACACAGCCACCCCAGTAGCTCTCTCCACAGCATATTCCTTTACCCATACACCCAGACCCACTGGCAGAGGAGGTGGCACTGGTCTCCTGCTCTCTCCCAAATGGAGCTTTTCCGTCTTCAAGCTACCTAACTTCACTCCTTCCACCTTTGAATTCCATGCCGTTACTGTACCCCAGCGTTTCTCAAAGTGTGGGGTGCACCCCACTGGTGGGGCGCAGAGATGTGATAGGTGGGACGCGATGAACGGGAGATCTTTTTTTTTTTAAAAATACATTTTTTGGACCTCAGGCCAAAATCGAACCTGGGTCCTCGCGGGCGGTAGTGGACTGTTACAGCCGGAGACTCGCAACGGCGATGGACTTTCACAGCACCGGAGCTGCCGCGGGTGTTTGCGGCGGCGGATGCGGTACCGGCGGCGGATGCGGTACCGGCGCAGCGGCACTGTGAAAGTCCACGGCCCACCTATGCCAAAGCCAGCGGCCCAACAACGGCAGCGGCCCACCAACGGCAGCGGCCCACCAACGGCAGCGGCCCACCAACGGCAGCGGCCCACCAACGGCAGCGGCCCACCGGGAAGGTCCCGAATCTCCCGATGGCCAACCCGAGCCTGCTCACACACACAACTGAAACCAAAATAATTTACAGACATATGTAAAAATCTCTCATACACACACATGAAACGCTCTCTCACACACACACACACACACACACACACACACACACACACACACACACACACACACACACACACACACACACACACACACACACACACACACACACACAGTGTTGGAGTTGGGAAGAAAAGCAATGTGGAGCGGCACCTCACCACTTCATAAGGAGTTTAACCGTGACACTTTTCGAAATCCCGTTTGTGTCCCCCTACTTTACAAATAGGCCTATGTTTATTATTATTTTTTAACGCAAGCCCTCATCGCCACAGAGGAGCATACAGCCTCTGTGAGCGAGAACAACCTTCTTGATCCACACCAGTCTGGTTTCAAGGCAGGTCACTCCACAGAAACTGCTCTCCTTGCTGTCTCTGAGGAACTGCACACTGCTAAAGCAGCCTCCCTCTCCTCTGTCATCATCCTTCTGGACCTGTCTGCTGCATTCGACACGGTGAATCATCAGATCCTCCTTCGCACTCTCCAAGAACTTGGAGTTTCAGGCTCTGCACTTTCCCTCATCACCTCATACCTCAAAGACCGCACCTACAGGGTAACTTGGAGAGGGTCAGAGTCCGACCCTTGTCAATTAACTACAGGGGTCCCTCAGGGCTCTGTCCTTGGTCCCCTCCTCTTCTCTCTGGACACAAACTCACAAAATCAGTCATTAGCCCGCATGGTTTTTCATACCACTGCTACGCTGACGACACCCAATTAATTATGTCCTTTCCCCGCTCCGAGACCCAGGTCGTCGCATGCATCTCTGCTTGTCTAGCAGACATCTCTCAGTGGATGTCTGCTCACCACCTCAAGCTCAACCTTGAAAAGACTGAACTGCTTTTCCTTCTGGGAAAAGATTGTGCCACTCTTGACCTAACAATCAACATCGGCCCCTCTATTGTTTCCCCGACTCAGACTGCAAGGAATCTGGGTGTGATCCTAGATAACAACCTGTCCTTCACTGCAAACATAGCTGCTACAACCCGCTGCTGCAGATACACTCTTTACAACATCAGGAGGATACGTCCCCAGCTGACCTAGAAAGCGACGCAACTTCTGGTCCAGGCTCTCGTCATCTCACGCCTAGACTACTGCAACTCCCTCCTGGCTGGTCTACCTGCATGTGCCATCCGACCTCTGCAGCTCATCCAGAATGCAGCGACTCGTCTGGTCTTCAACCTTCCTAAATGTTCCCAGTCGATCGCGAGATGTGTCTAAAAATGGAACAACAATATTCTGTTTTATCGTTAATGTCCTATAACATAATCATCCTGTGCCAGAATAATGCACTTGAACGCATCAAAGCTTTGTGATTGGCCGGTGTGACCCCATGTGTCGGGGCGTGGCTGGTGGGCAGTGGGCACTATTTCGCTGACGTTGTCAGTGTCAACTGGAGTAACAGTCCGCACACACACAAGACCGTAATTATGGCAGAAGCAAAAAAGCCCAAAATATATAATTTTCACGAGTGAGAGGATGATTATTTTTGTATCTATTCCAATTCAAAGTCCATCTGTCTCATCTGCAATGCGAGCGTGGCTTTATCGAAGAAGGGTATTTTAGGAGCGGCATTTAAAAACAGTGCACAAACGCTACGAGACGGAATTCCCTCCGAATTCTGCCCTACGCTCCCAAAAGGGGAGGGGCCTGAAAGGACAGCTAAATGCACAGCAGTCCATTTTCACCAGGCCCAACAACAAGAACAAGGCTGCTACCATCGCATCTTATCGTGTCAGTCACGTTCTTGCGAAACACATGAAGTCTTTCAAAGACGGCGAAGTTGTGAAAGAAGCTTTCCTGGAGGCTGCCGACGCACTTTTGGGAGACAGTAAAAATAACAGTAGCATTTCAACAGGTTTTTGATATAATAAAAACTCAAGTTAGATACCGTTATTAATCAGCTGTAAGTTTTAGTTTGTTTGACCTTATTCATTATAATTATTGTACAAAATGGTATAGAATGCAAACTTAAATTGATTATAGTCTAATCAATCAATTCAGGTTAAGAAGCTAGTAATAATAATAATAATGAGTTCCATTTATAAAGCACTTCATATTTGATTTAAAATCCCGAAGTGCTACAAGTAGTGAGCATGAACAGTATAAATAAACATTACACAACACGGTAGAATTAATAAAAAGCAATACAAAATAAATAAAAGGGTGATAAAAAGCTCTAGGCAAAGGCTCTTTTGAAGAGATGGGTTTTGAGGCCTTTTTTAAAAGCCTCCACGGTCTGTGGTGCTCTCATTTGGTCGGGGAGAGCATTCCACAGACTGGGAGCAGCCGAGCAGAAGGCCCGGTCTCCCATAGTACGGAGCTTAGTCCTGGGGGGTTTGAGGAAGTTGGAGTTGCTGGAGCGGGTGGTCCACAAGGAGGTATGGGGGGTGAGGAGTTCCTTGAGGTAGGGAGGGGCAGTTCCATGGACACACTGGTGGGTGAGGACGGAGACCTTGAATTTGATCCTCAGTTCCACGGGTAGCCAGTGTAGTGCTTTAAGGATGGGGGTGATGTGATCATATTTGCGCACCCTCATCAGGATCCTAGCAGCGCTGTTCTAAATGTATTGGAGCTTCTGGATGCTTTTGTCAGGGATCCCGATGAGGAATGCATTGCAGTAGTCCAGCCTGGAGGAGACAAAGGCGTGGACCAGCTTTTCGGCGTCAGACAGAGTGAGTGTGGGGCGGAGTTTGGCGATGTTCCTGAGGTGATAAAAGGAGTTCTTGCACAGCTGTTTAATGTGGGCCTCAAAGGTCAGATGGGCGTCCATTTTAACACCCAGTGTTGCTAGCATCCTATTTTAAAGGCATTTCTTTTTATAAGCAGATTCCTGTGTAGCTTCAGATCTGAGTTGTCTTATTAGTAAGCCTAATTTATACTTTTGTAGCAACACTATTTTTATATAATGGCAAAGAAAGGGTTCAGAGTATTTTCTTTTTTCCCTGTGTCATATGTGGCAGCACTGTTAAATGTTTCTTGAAAACATTACCCACTGTAGTGTGACGTGTGAATAAACTCTAACTCTGTATCAACAACACTGTTGTGTAACTTCAGTTAAATACTTGTATGTGTGTAGATTAGAAAGAGGTAAGATAAAGGATCTGCAGTATTTTATGAAGTATTAATCGTACAAAGGTCAGTTTTATACAAGTAGTGTGTATTTACCTGGTAGTAGGCTGTCAGTAATGGCTACGCCTCTCTATTTGGACTGGTAGATCTCGGCAGACTGGCAACTTTAAAAGTAGCTCTCGGTTCAAAAAAGGTTGGGCACCCCTGGTCTAGAATGACAA